GAGCTTCCTCCCAGAGGTCATTCCCAAATGAACGCCTGATAGAAACAGGTGAGAAGTTGTCCAGGGGGGCCACAGCTCTGATGCAGCGTGGGTTACCCTACACCAGCCCAGGCATGGGACGAAATGCGAGCTCTGAGCCAATACCGGAGGGGCCCCAACTTGAATGATGCCACCACTCTTTGGATGTTCAGGGAACATTCTGGCCTAATCCAAGCTCGCATTTGTCTATAACTGTTCCCAGAAAGGACACTCGCTATCTGGGAGTCAGAAAACTCTTGGTTGAATTGATTCCCATTTCAATGCCTGAGCATTCTTTGAGGGAGTTCCGGCCTTGGCGAGAACTGACCCTCTCCTGTTCCTCTCAAAGTGCTTCGCAGTGGGAGCAGCCTGCCCTGAGAGAGCAGCTTCAGCGTGAGTGTGGCCCAGACGCATTCAAATCTGATGCTGTCAGCGATAATAATTAGTGACAGCCAGGAGCGTTGGAGGGGACAATAAACATACATTTTGATTTTCTCAAGAGCAATTTTTGAAGGGGACACAAATAATACAGCTAAAATTGTACTTGTAAGGATATGTATACACAAAGGAAAGCCTTACTACTATTAGTGCAGCAGGGAGACTGTGCCAAATTAGACAACGTCAAGCTGTTGTGGTTGCGCCGCGACAGCGCTCGTGTCCGTTGTAGACATTACTATCCATCACAGTGTTGCCAAGTCTGCGGTTTTCCATGGCACTGTTGCTGTGGGTTGTTTTTCATGTCCGCGGGTTGAAGCGACCCTAATAACGTGTATTTTAGCCCCCGGAACGCGATTTTTACCGGGGGACCCCCTTGAAACGCGATTAGTTTGGGCTAGTTTTGGGCTAGCAATTGGGCGGGTTTTGTTGTGAAAACCTGGCAACCTTTTCCGTCAAGCAGGTAGCGTTATTATTGCTAACATAGCGGACTCGTTGGAAAATACATTGGCATCATCTGTATTAAAGAGAAAATAATCACTCAGATTTTAAGGGGGACAACCCTCAGATAGGGTCAAAGTGCTGCATGCATTCTACTCTGCTCAGCTTGAAAGGATAAAACCGCTCGTTGCAGACGAGGGGTCCTAATCCTCAAGTTTAAACACACTGGCGGATCAAAGTGCTGCGGGAAGAGTAAAGCACGCGGTACCTGTGCCGGCATAAACTCACTCAATCCCGATTGTTCAGCCACGCGACTTCACTGTTTCATTCTCTGAGCAGCTGGGAGGAGAGAAAAATGAGAGCGGAGGTGGGCAGGACCGCCTTCATCAAAGATGGTGAGCGGCAGGATGAGCTTATCCTTCTTCGGCTTCTTGATCACAGAGTCAGCAAAGAGATGGTCTAGTTGCTGAAGGAGAAAATTATGTCGAGATGGCGCTCTGAGCCGGCTTATATAGCCTCCAGCTCCTCCCGTTTTGGCAGGCTAGAGTGCCATTGTTTTGTGCAGCTACACAAACGTGAACAAATCAGGCTTCAGTATCAGAGTAAACAGGAGTTTCCCATAAGTGTCAGCAATGCAATGGGAGAGACCGTTTGATAGGGAACATCAATGCAGAGCCCCAGAGACTCACACACCCTGTTTGGGGGGTTATCTGGTTACAGAATCCACCAGTAGTGTTTTGTCACTTCACTTGTATACCCAGACCAGAACAAACAAATCTTCAAATCAGTTGTAAAAACATAAAAGACCTTTTGGTTTGTTAGGATCTCATGCCCCAGGGTCACACCTAGCCAGAGATAGGAAAACATTCTCACCAGACCCTGAGGGAGACACACCCCTCAGCAACAGAACAGAATTCTTCAAAAGTTTTATAATATATAAGTGACTGCTGTGAAATTGAGACCATTTTACCAATCACACAGAGACCTTTTCAATGATACAAAACATGAAGGGGAAAACAACAGATTCACAAGATACATCATATGTGGTATACAGATATTTTTAGTGAACTTTTAGTGAAACCTTTTGGGGGAGGAGAAGGAGAGGGAGAGGGAAGAAGGTGGTCGTAAATGAGCAAGGAGATGAGTTTGAGCAAGGCGGTGTCATTTGCTCTCTTTGGAGATCAAAGTGGCCTTACAGAATTGTCCAGAGTTGTCATGATGACCAAAGTGTATCTATTCATCCAGTTTTATTTATTGTTTTATACTTTATTTGGCATGTCAAATATTTGTACATTCATATTGTCAAAGTAACTGCATAATTAAAATGAGAATAGTGCAAAACAACAAAGAAAATCAAAACCGTGTAACTCACAAAACAAACAATAGTCTGACAGAAACAGAGCCATAATGTTTAACTGAGCTGCTGAAAATTGAAATAGGCTATTCACATGATGAACCACATGATGTTTATCTGGTTTCGATGGCATTTTCTTTTCATCTGATCTCTATATTATTCATAATAAAGTAGTATTACACATACTGCTGCTTTGAAAATGAGTAACTGCTGTTTTTCTGCTTTTCTCTAAGCGCCATCTACTGTCAGATAGTGACTTTGCATTTTTATTCAATCTGTCTGTCACTGTTGTTCAGACCAATTATATTTTATATATAACATTCATAATCATTTATTAAGCTGAAATGTGAGGTTTATCATTTTATAAAAAGCTTTTTGTTTTTGTCTAAGCTGGTATTAACTGAACTGTAAAGTTGTTTAAATCAGAGCTTTTATGGTCTTGTACAGGATGTTACCACAGTCATTGATGCTGTTTCAAAACAAGGTTGATACTTCTGTTTTATAATACCACATTTTTTTCTGAACAATTTCACAATTTCTAAAAGAATTTAAAGAGTAGGCCTATTGTTGCTTACACTCCCCATTCAGCTTGTACATGTACTAAATGGATTTCTGTTGTCTATGTTAGATTTCTGATTAGTTATTAATTGAATAACATAACCTGTGCCGTATTTTACGCGTATAAAACCCTAGGTTACATAAAAATAAGCAACCATAAGCCATTTTATACACTACTAAAGTGTAACCATCAAAACTTAACATATTTTAACAGCAAATGCACATAGAGAAATCACAAATGTGTAGCAGGGTCAGAAATGAACTTTTCCATTAAGGGGCAATTTTTGCCCATTGATGTCTGAGATCTTCTGTAAATTGGTACATTTTAAGCACATTTCATTGTGTGTCAGCAGACTGAGACAAACGGCAGGATCATCCTTTTATGTGATAATCACCTATTGATGTGTGTTTTAATCTTTCTCCTCAGGTTAAACATTATTAAAAGTACTATTAAAGACTACAGAAACCGTACACTTGTCATGTTTTTGACATTGAAATTGCATAAATTAGCATTTTCATTCAGCCTGTCTGCTGTTTTTGTTCAAACCAGTTATATATAACACAATTGAAATGTAAGGTTTATCATTTCATAAAATGTTTTGGTTTTGTCAAAATGTGTTTTTCCCCCTGAACTAGTTGAGTGCAAGCCCCGCACCACCACTGATTTCATTGGTTAACTCAATCACTCAGTCAGCTGCCAACAACATTTTTGATTCAGCTCATAGCTCCTTCTGGTGAGAGAAATACATAAATGAAGAAAGACAAAATATTAAATGTGATGGATGAATATGTACGGAGTACTCAATCAAATTAGTAGAACAGGGTCAAAATTTTAATTTTCAACTGAGATTTGGGGCCAAATTACAGGGTAAAAAATTACTTTAGAAAGATTGCAGCATCATTATTTTATTTTTGCAGAGATTTGTAGGTCAATTAGTAAAATCAGGTGTGTTTAACCTTGTTGCATTGAATGCCAGTGGCACTTTTTGAGTTTCCCCCCCTTTATTTCCTTCATGATAATCCATACAGGAGAGAAACGTACTGTACACATGCCCTCAGTGTGGAAAGAGTTTTGCTGGTGCATCAGGTCTCAGTTATCATCTGCACATTCACTCTGGAGAAAAGCCATTTAGCTGTGATCAGTGTGATAAAGATTTGATTTCATCATCACATCTAAATAAACACCTTAAAGTTCATTCAGATGAGAGGCCTCATGTGTGTTCTTTCTGTGGAAAGAGTTTTTCAAGGCTACATGATTATAAACGTCACCAGAAAACACGTAATGAAGTGAGAGATCATGTGTGTTGTGAGTGTGGGAAGAGCTTTATTACAGCTGGCCACCTGAAGCAGCACCAAAGAGTTCACACTGGAGAAAAACCGTACAAGTGCTCATATTGTGACAAGAGTTTAATTCAGTCTGGAAACCTGAAAGATCATGAGCGAGTTCATACTGGAGAGAAGCCGTATCACTGAAAGAGTTTCACTCAGTCAACAACTGACATATGAAAAAGCATTGTTCTGTGTCACAGTGAGCAAATGTTTTCTATAGATGTGAGATTCATATAAAGTAAATGTGAGATTATCCATGCTATAAGATTTGTGTGTTTTCTGTTTTGTTGGAGAACAGCAAAAGTATTTAGTCACTTTAATCTTACTTTGATGGGTTTTTTTTTATTCTTTGATTGATTGCCTGCTCGTTAAGACATTGACAAAGAAACACCCAAATTAAATTGGAAAAAATATGTTCAAAAAGATATTTATTTAATAAAGGAACATTATTATATATGCAATATAAAAGTTGCATAGGCTCTCAATAATAATGCAAGTACTAAGTTCAGTAATATATTTTATTTATGATGATCCCGTAGTTTGTCTCAGTCTGTTGACACACAATGAAAACATGTTTAATGTGCCAATTTACAGAAGATCTCAGACATCATCATAATGAATGATGATAGAACGGAAAACTTTTTAGCAGCTAATTTGATGATAGTCTTGTTGTCAGGAGAGATTATTCAGTGTATAGATTAAGTGAAAATAATGTGTACCGTATAAAATCATTATGTGTATGGAAAATCCTGTTAAACCATGAAAACCCTGCATGTATGTGTGTGTTACCAGGAATTTCCAACAGGTGTCAGCAATACACTAAAGTGTTTTCGAGTTTTCCATAAATATACAAAAGAGCAAAAACACGACGAGCAGAAGAGAGAAGCGCGGGACTCCAGAGCTGAAATCTGACATATACTATTAAATATTGAGTTTATTAAAGAGGAGATTGAAGACATGAGGGATCCAGAACCATCCAGAATAAAACATGAAGATACTGAGGAACAAACAGGTTGGTGTTCATTCTCGATTCTTCATTTTTGACTGTTTTAGTAGCTGTGAAATATCGATCAGTATATGGATGATAAATGACACAGAAATACGTTTAAATGATCATAACACCGGTGCAGCAGTAACAAGTGAATGACAGAACTAAGATCTGGCACATCAAACATCTGATACCACAGACAACGAGGCTGAATTCTGCTTCTTATAAACGCTATCCGTTCCACCTTAAAAACACGTTTCTTAGCTTCTTGTTCTCAATTTAGGGACCGTCTCTATTTGTGTCTCTTTTTCAGAAACCAACAATAAACTATTTTAAAATGTAAATAACACTGAGATAAGAGCAAAAACGGGCTGTCAACATTAAATCTAATTACATTATATGGTAATTATTAAACGTGCATGTCATCCTTTGAGTGCAGTAATGATTGTTTTTTAAAATCTAGCCTCTTATGAAGACTTTATATGACCCAGCACCTGTGAATAGAGGACTCTAGATACAAAATGATGACATTTTCATTGCTTTAAAATGCACACAAAGTTTGCTTAAATGAATATATGGTATTTGTAAATACTATAATTTGTACTAGACTTCAACTGTTCTTTATGATACCCACTCCTATAAAGACTATTCTGGTTTTGTATCAGAAAAACGTGCATTTTCTGTAAAGCTGCTCTGAAACAATATGTGTTGTGAAATGCGTTATACAAATAAATATGAATTAAACTGAATGAGCCATTGCATTGTTGGTTACTGTACCATGTTGTCTCCGAGGGTGTTTTGAAAGTTTCACAGGGTGCTTATACCCAGTGTG